ATCCATGGCACCGCCGGGGACTCGAACCCGAAACCCGTGGTACCGATCGCCAGAGCGCTAGCCACTCTCATTCCCCGTGGCTAAAAGAATTCACTTTGACCCGGGGTGAAAAAGCTCTGTGCCAGACATTTCACTCTCTCGTTTTGATGCGTACTTCATTCTCCGATTCCAAAAAGCAGAACCCGTTTTAGTTTAGAATCACTGTAGTTTATTTTGATAGCTTCAGAATCGCTCTTTTCTTTCAAGGTCGCTCCAACGCAGAACTTCGAAACGATATAGTTTTGGTTTGTTTATAACTCTGCCCTCCCTTTCCTTTCTTTTTCTCTTCAGCCAGCCAGAAGTTTTCGTGGTTTCGTAACGGTTATTTTTTTAACTCCTTTTAATTGCCACAGTTCTTATTTTTAAAAACTTTTGTGAACTATTATTTTAAATTTTATATTTACTAACCTTTTTTACTACTGAAATTTCTCTCCGAGGTGGGCTCGGTTAAAAATTCTTTCTTTAGCTCATCTTTGGATTTAAAATTTGTTTTTAATAATAATTATTGATATGGAGGTACGGGAAATTCCCTGGTACTCCAACTACACCTACCGTTACGTTACGTTACAAACATATAAAAAACTTATGTAAAACATTTAATCAATTGTTGCCGATATATTGAAAAATCTCATTTTCACTTTGAAATAAAATAAATTTTTGCTTTCACCAGAACGATCTTTTAGAACTATTTTACATAGTTTTTGTCTTCTGAATTAATTTGTTTACTAAATTTTTTAATAATTACTCTGTTATTTTGTAAAAAAATATTATGTATAAGAAACTCATGAAGAATTAAAAAAAAAAATTACAGATTTCAGTTAAAATATCAAAAATTGAATGTGGTCAATTACACGAAAATTCCCGCTCTAAAAACAATACCCATATATTTTATAGGTAAAGAAAAAAAATAGGGCAATATATTTGGGTGGACGTTATAGATTCTAAAACATTTGGGGTTGCAAGAATCTAAAAACAATTTGTTTCTATTTCAAGAATAATGAAAAAAAGTTCAAACGAATGAACTGTTTGAAAACTAATTTAAAGAAAAAAGAAATGATTATTTGAAGGAAACTATTAGTAGAAGCATTATTGCGTCCTTTGTGTTGATCAATCTTTTTTCATCTCATAGCAATCATTAGGTTTTACTTGTAAGACTTTATAATATTTTGGCCTTAGTTTCATTCCAGTACCAAACTGGGTTCGTTGAATTGCCACCAAATCATTAATATGAAAAGTAAAAGCACGTTTTCACCGTTTACCATTTGTTTTGATTTTCTTATAAAATTTTGAAGGTGTTATTCTTTGTTTTTCTGAATAACATTATATAGAAGCTCTTCATTTAAAATTTTAATTATCTTCATGTCTTCCTTCTTCTTCATATTGGGGAAGCCAGATAGCCAATTGATTAGTGCTTTGCAGTTTGGTACCATAGGCTTCAGGTTCGAATCCTGGCAATGGCATTGATAGTGGTTTGGAATCTACGTTAAGATGTAAGTCCCGGTCTAATTAGCTCAAAGTGTGTACAAAAGGACCGTAGAGCGACAAACCAAACCAATCTTTATATTAAGCAGCCTGATGGCCAATTGGCTAGCGCTCTGGCCTTTGGTACCACAGGTTTCAGGCTCGGATCCTTTCGGTGGCATGGATGTTAGTTATGAATTCGGAATCCACGTTAAACTATAGGTTCCAGTCTAATTAGCGTAAAGTGTACACAGAAAGACCGTACAGCGACAATCCAAACCCAAAACAATCTTCATCTTGGTTTCAAGATAATCAATGCGGTTGGTTGTCACAGACGCATTTTCTTTTGGGATCAGATTTAAATAACCCTCTTCTTCATGAGTTTTTTCATTGTATTCTATTCGCTCATTAAAATTTGGTACGGTATTTTCAGTTTGTGACTGAGATACCTCATCCTTTGAATTAGTAGCTTTTATTTATTATTTTATTTTGTACCTTATTTTTTTGAGATATTTCTGTTTATTTCCTTCTAATTTGCTCTTGAAAGAGAACTCCGAGTGAACTTTTAGCAATAGTGGTTTCGTCATTCTAAGGAATATTCATCTTATCTTGAGTGGTATCCATTTCACTTGTTTCGTAACTCTTTGACAGCGAGAGCACGCGGCATGTACATCCCTCGTTCAGAGTGATTGATAAACCTATCTTCCCTACATTTATTACATCAACTGTAGGAACTATTATATCGTTACCTCTGTCATTTCATCATTTTCAACCTTTTTTTAACAATTGTGTAATAGCTGCAGTTGTTCCTTATGCATGCCAGGTTGTTTGATCTAGAGCAGATTCGATTTAATTCCGCTTAAGATACTAAGTGTCCAATAATTACAGACACAATTATTTACAGACAAAATTATGTAAGAAAACCTTACAAAATATAGAAATAAAGTATATTTACTAATTTAAAATGTTAATTAGACTACAAATTATCAAAAAATTTGATTTGAGATCCAGATTTGAGTTCAGGGGTGGCCAACCCGAATGATCTTGCGGGCCACTTTGGAAATGCATCCTAACTCTGTTGGCCTCATATAAAATTATATATCCCCATATTAGATTTAGATCCACTATAGACATTTTTTTGGAGTGAAAAATGGAAACATAATGAGTTACTATTATTGTGTTTACTATTATTCTTACATGTAAACATAATATAATAATAATGATATTAAACTCACATTGTAAAGAAATATATAACACTAAAAATGAAATATAAAAAATATATAAATATAAACAAAGTAAAAAAAGGAAATCATTGAAAAATATTTATTTTATTAGAGCGATATTTGTTCGCGCAAGAATATTATTTTAAAATCAAAGTTGATTTTTTCTCATATTTTCGGCAGTTAATTTTTGAATCTATAGATGCACATATAATGTATTTTTTTAATACATTGGTTTTGATTACTTTAGTCACTATAAAATAAATATATTTTGTAAAAGTATGGTAAATCGCACTGGCCGGAAAAATATTCAAGGCGGGCCGCGTTATTGCCACCCTTGATCTAGAGCAGGGGGTCTTTAGTAGGGGGTCTTATAGAATTTTAATTTTCCAGTCCGAGGCAAATTAAAAGAAATATAAATTTATACATTATATATCCATCTTCTTTTCTACTTTGATTAAATATTATTTTTTTTCTTCCTTTTTTCAAAGGACTGATGATCTTTTTACTTTCTCAATTTTTGTTCTACAAAACCTAAATTGACGGAAATGGCAAGCAAGGATAGCTCTCAATCGGAAAGGATTTGCAAGTTGAGTTACATTCTAACAATCATATCAAGTAGTTGTTTCTAAATATGCCAAAGTTAGAGTTTTACAAATCAATATCGAAAGTAGGTTTCCCAAATTCAATATCTCACGGCCAGAAAATCAGTGCTGTGTTTTCTTCAACTAATATATGTGAACAAGTGTTTGCAACTATGAACCTTGGAAAGAATTATTTCAGAAGTAGACTGACAGATGAGCATTTGTGATTCCTTATAGTGAGGTTCGAAGTGAGAACCTCAATATAAGGAATTTTTAAAAGTGAAATCTCGATTTAATTCTGCTCATTAACATATTTAAATTGTAATACTTGTATAGTGTTTTTAAAATTTTAGCAAAATTTTTCTTGTCCCGCCAAACTTTTTTTTTTCAATTTTTGGCCCGCGACCGAAAAAGTTTGGAGATCCCTGATCTAGAGGATGAAGTGCTTCTTTCTACCAACAAGGGAGATTAAAATTTTCGGCACTTCAGAAAACATTTGGATGATATTTGCATTAAATTCTCTTTCTTTCTTACAAACAGAAATGCTATTGCTGTTAACAGAAACATTTTTGAGCCCAATATATTCATGCCGATGAAAATTATTTGTCACGTTTTTAAGAACAAAAAATTTTGATTTTATTTTAATAGTGTCGATTGTGATATCAAAATATACTGGAGTAATCTTTTCTCTAATGATACTCATTAATCTAACATTGTCATGCAATAATTTAAGATAGTTGAATACATTATGTATACGCCTTTTTTTACCATTGTTACTCAATTTCCAGTGTAATATTTCCAGTATGTATAGTTCCTATTAAATACATTATTTCTGAATCACTTATTGCTTGTTTATGAATTTTATTAAGAACATATTCACTCGTACAGTTAATATTGCGCGTTTTAGACACTTTTTTTGAAATACGAGAACCAAATTTATAGCAATTGAAATATTTTAACCCTTTGGGTTGTTTAGTACATTTTACTGGAATAGGACCTATTCTGGCATATAAAAATAATGTAATCTTTTAAGTTTTTAAAATCTTTTAAGTTTGTAATTTTTGCTATTATTTTTTGTATTTACACATTAGTATTAATGCTGGGATACTTAGACTTACGATATTTATGTGTTTCCCATTCTTTTTTATAGCTTTATATATTTAATTTTTCTTTAAATTCTTTTAATGTTTTACATTTGTATAAGATAGTTTTATTGCTAGCCGAATTGTTAATTCCTTTTATAACGTATTGCAACAAAGCATTATCTTTTATATTACCCTTACAGCATACTGTTTTATCGTTAAAAAATATTCGTCTAATAATATTTTCTTTTCTTTTTCTTTTTGATAACTCTTCATGTAAAATTGAGAAGAATTCCTGTTGAAACCGTATACTGACCGTAATAAATGTTGTTGTTGTTGTTTCTTATCCCACTTGGCTGGCCAAGCCCACGAGCCCATATGGACTCATGATTGAAGGGGAAGGAAGCAGCTTCTGTAGTGATGGAGCACCCGTAGGTAGAAGCCTGACTTTTGCTCCGTGACGCTCTTACAGTCATAGGAGACCGGGACCTACGGCTTAAAGTGGATTCCGAACCACTACAAACATCCATGGCACCGCCGGAATTCGAACCCGAAACCTGTGGCACCGAGCGCCAGAGCGCTAGACACTCGGCCATTCAGGTCCCAAATTTGCCAACGGCACGCGGTGTTCCCAGGTGGTCACCCTCCCAAGTACTGACCACGCCCAATGATGCTTGACTTCGGTGATCTAACGAGAACCGGTATATTCAGCATGGTACGGCCGTTGGATCCGTAATAAATAATAGTATAAAAGTAAAACTCTTTTAATTTTGAACACCTAATGTGTTTCACTGTTTTTTCCTCTATATTCAAAAGAAAATATAACATCCTTTTTTCTTAAGTTGCTTTTTTTCTTTTATTATTCAATAATTCTTCAATATGACATAATGCTCGTGTTGATAGGTAATATGAGAAATGATCATAGCTGTACTGATTATAGATTAAAAAAATTTTAATATTTTTGGTACGTATTATAAATTCCTGCTTACAAACTAAATTTTTACTAAAATGTTTTTTTTTTTAAGTTTCGATAAAAATTAATTCCGTAAAAAAACACACACCAAAAATTGTTGTTCACTTCCGAAGTTAATTATCAGATTTTCATTGTGACAAAGGGATAAACGGTTTGTTAGAAAATTGAAGGAGAAACTGTCCGAAACTACGGATGACGTAGGATAGCCATACTTTCATGTATGGATGCAATACATTAACATACGGCAGTATAGTGCAGTATGTTTATGTGAGCAAAGTAATTAAAAAACACGAGTAATGAATTGACAAAAATTAAAAATGTTTTCTAAGTGACCAAATCAATAATCAGAATAACATAGGGCAGTACAGATTTGCTGTAGTTGAAGCTGATCCCTACTACAGAAAATTTTGATTTCTTTCCACTTTTCAGATATTCAACATTCCCGCACTATAGTATTTCTCAGTGGACTGTGTATTTGGGGTTCACTCTTCACAAATAATCATTCCCATTGCAAATAAAAGAAACACGTTTATTATTACATTGCTCTGAATAGGCATAGCCACTCGCGGCCATGTTATTTCACTTTTTCACCGCTAGGGATGCGCACGCAGGCGCTTAAATACACTTTTTTCGCAGCTAGGGGTGTCCAAGTGCGCAGATCTCCTTTTTTTTATTTCGTATTTTTATTTAAATATTTGTAAAATGTTTTAATTATCTGTATAATTATATAATGAACTGAAAATTCGAACAAGTTGAACATTATGAATCAGTAGTACTTTATTGTTAAAAAATTGCTCTTACGCCAATGAAGCCCTTAAAATTATTCTTAATTGTTCATTCGCCACTTCAACCAGAGGTTTGTTTGTTTCAATAAGCTGAAAAATACTACTGTATGAGTGCAATATATTATTAATTTGAAAGGCTAAGTTATTTAAAAAAAAAAGAATAAATTGAAAATACGTTTGGAAAACTGTGCTTTGACTGGTGTTATTCTTATATAAATTTATGTAACATTTTTATATTCAAATTAAAAACGAAAAACATAATCTTATTTCAGTGATGGAGGTAGTGGGAGCGGAAGAGAGATCCATTTACGGAGTGGCCATGAATCTAGGTTGGTGTATCGGATTCGTCTCACTGCCAGGAATCGCCTATCTCCTGAAGGACTGGTTCTGGATACAGATTGCGATCACTGCTCCCTGCATAGTGCTCCTCTTCACATGGTGGTAAGGGAGTGCTGCATTTCTTCGAAGGCCTTCCATTTTATAGCAAACAGGAAATAAATTTTACTTTAAATATAATACAAAAGATAAAAAGAAAATTCGAAATAGACAAAACAGTTTGAAATTCCGATAAAGAACGATACCATAATCGCGTTTTACTATATAGCATCGGCTGCATGGATTTATGACTATCATATTTGAATCTATGAGGTGTTTTTATAAGTTGTATGAAAATTACTTTAGTTTTACGTAGATGGAAATTTTGCATGAGCAATGCTAGTTTTTGGAGTACCTAAATGGACACTAGTGTCCACTATGAGATATAGAAATCTTTTACTGGTCGTGCGGCCTGATGGTCAATTGGCTAGCGCTCTGGCGAGCGGTACCACAGGTTTCAGGTTCAAGTCCACATGATGCAATGGATGTTTGTAAGGATTCGGAATCCCCTTTAAGGCAGTAGGTCCCGGTCTAATAAAACTGTTGGGCGTAGGGCTGACAACCATACCCCGTAAAAAGTCAGCGTCACGAATCCAAGTCAGACTGCTACCTACGGGTGTTCCGTTACAACAAATGGTGCCCCCTTCCCTCTCAACCATGAGATCACACGAGTTCTTAGGCTTGGTTAAGATGTCTACCAAGTGGGAATAAAAAACAACAACAACAACAACACAACAGATATAATGATGCTTACGTATTAACGCCACCGCAGCAGAAGTTGCGCTAATGTGCCAATAAAGAGCCGCCAATGCGCCGAAATAGAGACTGTTTTGAATCTATGTTAAACTCTATATCGGCCCATTTTCCACCGAAATCCGATTGACTACTTTGTTTTTAAATAAAGTGTTTTGAATTTTGAAAGTGTTTTGATTTTAAATAAAGTGTTTTATATATTTTATGATTTGTCACAAAAATTTTTAAGTGTAGATTGGCGCCACTTAAAAACCACCAAATCTGTAGCTGCGGTGGCGTTAATACGTAAGTACCGATATAATTAAATTCAAAATTTTATAATTTAAAGCTGTTGGAAGATCCGTATAATGTTTCATATAATGCAACATTAATATATGCAACGACCTGGTGATCAATTGGCTAAAGCTTTGGCGTTTGGTATGACATGCTCCAGGTTAGAATCCTGAAGTCGACCATGAAGTTGTTCATGGATAGTAGGCAATGTTAGAGGAGAATTCATCCTTCTTAAAACTCAACGAAAACAGGTCAATATGTATAGATTATTTGACCATTAATTTAATGTATAGATTATGCGCCTGATGGCCAAGTGACTAGTGCTCTTTCGCACGGTGGCACAAATTTCGAGTTTCAGTCTCGGCGGTGCCATAAATGTTTGTAGTGGTTCGGGATTCACTTAAGGTTCCGGCCTAATATGACCGTAGAGCATTGGGCGTAGTTCTGAAACCCTACCAGTAAAAGGTTTACGTAACGGAGCCAAGTGGGACATCTACCTACGGGTGCTCCATCGCAAAAGAAGCTGCCTGCTTCCATGAGACCACATAGTTCCTTGGACTTGGTCTAGATGTTGCTGTCTACCAAATGGGAGAAGAAACAAAAACACCATCGCCAAGTTCTCGTCGGGCATTAAACACAGTAGCTTAATTTTAATTTATTTTAAAATAATACTTTTCAATTCATATTTTTCTATCGTAGATTGTTGTTTATAAGCATAATAAATAGCTTTAAAACGAAGTACAGTAAACTATCATTTTTTGTAATTAATTGAGGCGATAAACATCTTACAGTATATCTTTTTTGTGTTTCATTTGCAAATTATGCTGGGGATTATCTATCATATAGCAGGTTTTTCATCGATATTTATTTATAAGAACTTTAATAAATGTAATTGCTATATTGCGCATAACAAAATAACGGATTTCTTTCTCAAAAGATCTGTTTTTAGTAACATTTTGAATCGAAACATAATTTGGAATCATTTTTTTTTTATCTTACAAAAAAGGTTTTTATTGCTACCTTTATAAAGTTTCGAATATAGTATTTCCAGAGTTCAAATATTTAGTTCTGGAAAAAATGTATTCAAATATTTGGTATTCAAAAGGTTGCTGCCCGAATCTCCTCGTTGGTTGATGTCCAAAGGCAGAGTGGATGAAGCTCAGAAAATATTGATCAAAGCAGCAAAGACAAACAAGAAAAAGCTCTCTGATATTGACACTAGACTGAAGAAAATGATGGTCAAAGCTACTGAGGTAAGGTTATAGGAGATATTTGACAGCGACGTTATATAAATTGAGATCTAGAAAACGGTATTAAAACAAAACAGACTAAAAAAATTTGCAGTGCTACAATATAAATAGAAAATATTATTTAAAAATTATAAAAGGCATGCAGAATTGTGACTTATTTAATGTGAAATAAAAATTATGAAAAAGAAAATATTCAAAAGATGTACGAAACTATAGAAAAAAGGTTAAGTATGGGCAAAAGGTATAAGAAAAAATTGTAATTTTTGAAATCGTAATTTCTTTTTCTGGAGTTTAATACAGCAACATCATTTTTAAGAATTTCTTTAATACATATATACTCAAGAGCCAAAACATTATGACCGCCTGTCAATAACGATTTGGCCCACCTTTGGCGCGCAACACAGTTTCAACCCGCCTTGGCATGGATTAATACCACCACGTAATACCAGTTAAATACCACTTCCACCTGATCACGTGCATTCCACGTCATCCAGGCGAGTTCATTGCAAAATGTAGGGGTGATCATAATGTTTTGGCTCTTGAGTGTATATGACTTATCAGAAGTTTTGCTAAAGGGATTTATTTAAAAGTAAGAAACAAACAAACAGACAAATCGTGTTGAACTTCAAATTTGTAGTACAATATAATAACCTGATGTGTAATCATAAGTTTCTTACTATAAAAATTTTGAAAAAAAGAAACCTTCAATATAATATAGATGAGAAAAGCTTATTTAAACACAGTGAAAGAGTTGTGAATTGTTTTTACAGAATAAAAAGGTTTCATTTAATTGTTTTTAGCACATCATTGTAATCTACATTTGAACTTTAAACAAAAATATGAGTTTAAGGAAAGAAATACCTAGGTATTTTATTCATCTGTGCATGATTTACAGAAGTCAAAAGGCTTCGGGTTCGTTACACATTTTTTTTTACTGAAAAAACCCCAAACTTTTTTAATAATAATAAAACTGTAAATCTTCACAATAACCTTAAAAACCTAATAATATTTATTCGTTAAATTTAAAAAATTCGAATATTAAAAGAAATGCCACTATTTCATTTAAATTAAACTAACTATGTAAAACTGTACTAATTTTTATCTAATTTTTCAAAACAAAAGTAATTTACTTTAAGAAAAATGTATTTTTTCCGAGATATAAATTAGTCAAAAACTTATATGTGCATCAATTGATATTTATAATTTACTCTTGTAAATAATCAAAATATTATAATTGTTTTTTTTTTATCCAAGGTTCACGAATCAGGCGCAGCCGGTGGTAACTTTTTAGATCTCCTTCGAACACCTGGCTTGTGG